TATCTGGATTTAATCACCGTCGATTGATCCCCTATCAGTAATTTTCCATTGATAAACTCCAAATGCAATTAATCATTTCACGATCCTTCACTCTCCAACTAACCAACTAACTTGCCAACTAACTCTTCCAACTCGGAACACAGAATTTATATAATATACTTAATTTGCATAATCACTCTTTCCTTACTCGGTGAAAGTTGGTGGATACTATTGTTTTCCCAGAAGAATCCCCAAGGTGTTAGTAGAGCAGCGTATAGATCCGTCACAACAATCTCTACTAGATTCAATTATTTGTTTTCTTTTGCGTATAAGAGTGATGATGATTCAATTAGTGCAATGAAGGATACTACTTCTCATGAATGCGTTTAGATTGGCGTTCCTTAAAAGCTTTCAAGTTAAAATTTAAGTCAAAATTTTTAGATCTTAAAAAAATACAGGATCCTCAACAGAAAACTAGACCTGTTTAACAAGAAATATCGTTACTTTATTTGATACAATATACATGGACGTAGCTACCGCCGTACAGTGATATCAATGGGGCTCCAAGTGGGTCGTGGTGAAGAGGCCGTGGTAGTCAAGTGGTCTAGGTATCGGATCATGGCTAGCGTGACTTCGATCCCAGTACCACGGGGATACCAGTATAAGCGTCAGTTCGATCCCTACACGGTGATCCCAAGACCCGCCGTGTAGGGGCGCGATGCACGTTAAATCTCTCGAGAGCTCAAACGTCCTCCCGTTGGTGTGGTAGTTGGGAGAGGGGGTGCCAGCTCAGGTGTCGTCCGCGTCATTTGACCATGGTTCAAAATGACGTGGACCGTCGCCAAAAGCCCTCGTGTAGCTGAACAGTGCGACGATAATATTCACTCACTCCAAGTTAGAAGGGCCCCTTCATGTGAAAGAAAAAAATCGTAGCATATTAAGGGACGCTCAAAATGGGCCCCCAAGGAATTCTGATTCAAGGCCAACTCAAGACTATCTACGCCAGTGACAACAGTGCAGGTTTATCCACTTGGGCCCAGGGCCCCAGATAAGCTGAACTTAACCGGATTAAAGAATCTCTCCTTGGATCAGACAGTGCCATGGAAGCCTGCATATTTTCTGCGTCCAGGTCCCGAAATGAGCTTAAATCGGCATTGAGGGACAATAGAAGAAATATATTACAGGATCGCAAGTGCCCCCTGTCTAAAAGTCATCTTCAAAAATAGTAAATCCTAATCTATATCTTAACGTAATATTTGGGAGATTTAAAAGGTAGTAACCAAGGTTAGATTTATGAGCGAAATTGGACAAATTTTCATACAAATAAAGGACTTTTAAATATTTTTTAAAATTTATAAATGACATTCCTAAATCTATAATGTTTTAATAAAGAATTAAAGACATTTTGTGATCGTTCTTAAAATAAATAAAACTATATTATGACTGATATCTGTTTAATTAAAAAATTAAAAATAAATATTGTGATGGTGAGGCAAACAATCTATTCAACTTTCCCGATATTTTGACATGAAAAAGATAGGGATTTATAAAAAAATCAGTTTAGTATAAAACGAAACTATATTTCATATATTTTGTTATTAATTCTTCCGCTTTAAAAATGTGTTTTATGAAAAGAACCAAAAGACTGTTCCTCATTTTATTTTATTTTATTCTTTTTAATGTATCGATGTTTTTCTAAAAAGAATCATTGACGTTTCAACAAAATTATTTTATTGAATTATTCTACCACTACATTATATATGTGTACTTATAAGAATTATATTCTTTCTTTTTCAATAAAATGTTAAGAAAGGAAATGTGAGGATAAGTTGACATTGCAAACTGAATCGTCTCCCTGAATTTTTATTTCCATTTCAAAGGAAATCTTGAATTTCCGAAAATCTTCTGTTGTTGAGAATACTAAGAAATTGTCCGTCTTTTCCTAGAAAAGACCGAGTTCCCGGATTTATCCTTCCAGAAAGTTAAAAATACTCGGAACACACAATCGCTTAGAATTTAAATGAAATACAGCGCCATCTAAGGGAATAAATGAAGGTTAATTATTATCAATGGAATTCGAGAGAAATTTATGGTGGTGCCATCTATTAACTTTAAATTCTACCAATACTTATACAAAATGGAAGAAAATTGTAGTATTTATATCTTTTTAATCTAAATACTCTGTATTTTTTGGTTTTTTAATATTTGTATAAAAGCATTCTTTATTTATTGAAAACTTAATGAAAAATATATTCTTATTTTTCTCTTAACATTTTATTCATTATACATTAAAAATTACAAATATTTTAGTGAAGTAAGTATGTGTGTGTATACTAAAGGATATTAAAGAATATGAATATTTAAATAATATGATAATGAACGAATAAAAATAGTAGTTTCAAATGAACATTTCTTAAATTAGATCAATCAAAACAAATTATAATTCAGACAAATTCAAAATTCTGTTCTAAAGTGAAACTGTGCATAATCCTTTTCAAAAACAAAAAAAAATCTTTTGCTCAAAATTGATGAGTATGTTATATTTAATTACACGTAATTCTTATAAATTATACCAACGTAGATTCTTTTTCAATGTTTCTAGTCAATATGAAATTTTTGAAGTACATGATGCAAGATAAACTTAATTACAATTAAATTAAATAAGTTTTAAAAATCTATAAATATTTTTTAAAAATTAATAATCAAAATAACAGATTATTGTTCCAAAAAAAGACGAAATAGTTTTAAAACTTTTATTTATATCTAAAACAGGAGTCTAAAAAAATATTCAAGAGGTTATACAGATCATTTAGAAGAAATATGTAAAAATATAGAATGTGTAAGTGTTTTTAGCAGTGCTTAAATTATTATTACCTACCGTATAAGTGGAGCTTCAGAGAAAGGCAATTTTGAAAATTCTTCATTTCACAGATACGTTAATAATTTGAATATAAAACACGTATTTTTCAAAAAAAAAAATGTTATTATTGGCCAATGATAATCAGGGCCGATCCCAGGGAGTTGGCCGCCCGCGTGCGAAGACCTAATGTGCCACCCATCTGGAGACTAATATATGTATTCATATTTTGACTATTACTTATATTTATTTACTTACTATAATACTTATATACTTCTTATTATAATACTTATAAACTTAATTACTTATTGTAATACTTATATATTTAATTACTTATTACAATACTTACTAATTACTAAGTTAATGCTTATATTTTAAAGTTGTAAACTCATCTACCTGTGTAAGGGTAAAAAGTAAAACATTAATAAAAATGCAAATAAAATTTGAAGTGCAAAACTTAATTTTTTGATCAGCTAATGGGTTATGATCGTGTTAAAATAATAAACAAGCAAAAATTCTATCTTTGAAATAAAAATAGATATTTTATAATTAGAATACCAAAACTCAAAGCTTAGGCTAACAACAGGTGTAAAATTCTAGCCCTTAGCCGCGAGGAATTTCGTGGACCTCGATCTGATGTTATTGTCGATCAGGTGGCATTAGCAACAACAACACAATTCTTTGTTCTTGCATTCTACTGGGTAAAACAAAATACAAAACCTATAATTTAAATAGCGCCATCTAGTGGCATACATGAACCCGAACATACTCCCCCATCAAGAAGTTATTGTTGATGCAAAGGAAGTTTACACACACACACAAAATTTATGTGAATTGGTCTTTTAAGTAGACCTTTAACAGTTCTGAGAGTTACTTCTCTTACCGCTTCATTCTTACCTGAATGCTTTTCAATTATTTTACCTAAAGGCCAGGTTGTGTACTGGGGGAACATTATCCTCTTTAATATAATTACAATTTCTCTCCAACTTTAAAATTATTGTTAGGATATTTCCCCTTAGTTCCGTTTTGTAAATTACTTAAATAATCACCTTTCCACTTTCTACAAAAACCTAACTTCATTTTTGGATAATATCCCAAGGGGAAGGAAGAGAAAGTTTATCATCATTGGTATGCTCAGGGGAAGAGGTAATAACCTCACTTATGAGAAAATGAGAAGGAGTTAAAATATTTAAACTGTCTGGATCATTGTCACCATTCAAAGAAGCTAGAGGTCTTAAGTTTAGAATTGCCTCTACTTGTGTTAACAAAGTGCTGAAATCCTCAAAAGTTAAATTTGTCTTACCAATGACCCTTTTTAACCCGGCACTTCACTCGCAGGGTATGTCATACCCAACTTCCTAAGCCTTTTTTGGAAAATGAATAGTTTTTCGCGTAGCTGACTTTAAGGTCATATCCTTTGAGGGGCCTTAGTTTATAGCCGAATTCTAAAGGTATACTTTTGGATACCGTCTCTTCGGGTATGTCATACCCTGCTCGTGAATCGCAGTTACAGTTCTAAATAAATGAGTACGCTTTAAAATCTTTCTTATGCAATGACGTATTATTGTAGTTAAGATCAAAAAATGTGATATTGAAGTAATTTATATATATATATAATAGATACAATATTTAATAGATAGAGTACAACAGTAATTTCGGATGAAGAAAGACTCTTTGTGGGAATGATGAGGAAGAATCGAATGATGAATCGCTGGGTGGGTGTACAGAGTTCCTAGCTCTTCTGAGCTTTAACCTCCAGTCGTTAGTTTTTTGAGTGACTTTAAAGTTTTGACTTTTGCCGTTTGTTAATTAAGAGTACTACATAAATAAAGTAGACTTAAAGAAAACTAAGAACAATTTAACTTTAAAATTAACTGAATACATGAAGTGCTTGAAAAATAGCTTCAAAAACAGTGCAAAACACTGAGAGTGATCAAATTTAGATCAGAAAGTGGGCGGAGCTAAGCCTGAACAATGGGGAAACAGCAGGTTGGTTGAATCGTTAAAAGTGAGAGAAACTACTTTGACTGAGAAAGAATCAGAAAAACAGCTTTTACGAAGCTTAAAAAACAAAAGGTGCACAAAAAATTGAATAAAACATGAGAAAATAAAGACGGATCAGTAAATTAAATTTAGAAAAAAAATAAATAAGAAATGGAAAATTTTGATAATCCGGGAATCGAAACCGGGTCAAATCATTTTAAATGTAGTTGCCCTAACCGCTGGACCACTAGGGCTAGCGGAAGGGTGCGAACTTAGCTTTTAAGGTCGGCAAAGAGGTATTTAGAGAAATGAGAGAAAATCAGATTATATGGTTGCGGTGGCGGCTATACCGACAACACCTCTGATGAATGTTTAATTTGTCTGTGTCATTGCTCACCTGTGATGAGGCATGGAAAGCTTTGGCAAATTTAGAAAAAAATGTATTGACGAGAGCTGCTACAAAGTTAAAATCTGAAGTTGGGGTGGTTTGAGAATCTTTAATTTTTCTGGGCTCACTTTTATTGGAATTTTTCTCCGGTGCTTTGTGCTTTGGAGATCCAGTGACGTTGCTTGGGGGGGGGGGGGGTCATTATTTTTAAATGTTTGTGCGAAGCTTAATCCTGGGATTATGTTACTAGACTTTGTTTTAGTTTTTAATGGTGTCACCTGTTTTAAGTTTTATTTTCGGAAATTTTGGGCATTTCGATTGGGATGCGAAATGTCCGTGCTGGTGGCAGTTTATGCCCAATGGATCTTCTATATTTTTGGTAATTGGGCATTCGCTGGTGCGATGGGGCTCTCCGCATTTGAGACAACGAGTTTTCATGTGGCAGTTTTGTGACCCATGGTAGAAATAGTTACAGTTGTAACATTGCGTCACATGACTCCCTTTTTTAAATGGGTCTAATTTAATTTAGAGAAATAAGCATTGATTTATCTTGTAGATGTCGGTGACGTTCTCGTCCCGAGTAATTTGATTAATTAAATGGGGAGCGGATTTTTTTATTTCCATTACCTCAACTGGGCAACCTTTTTCACCTTGATGCCCTTTTTAGTTAAATCTTGTTTAATTTCGTCACACTTAACAATGACGGGTAATCCTTTAATAACAAGTTTGAGGGGTTGGTTGTTAATTGGTTGAATAACGAAATATCAGTGAAAATCTGAGTGATCTCCCTGAGTTGTTCGTCTTTCTCTGCCATGATTTTAATGTATTCCCCAAGATCAGATTTCTCTGCAATTGGGTGGGACCTTTGCAAGTCTAGTAAAATTAAATTGTAATCTTCTGTGAATTTTAACATGATCAGGTCAATTTTTCCCTTCTAATGATTAAAAGTATCAAGAGTCAAGATCAAGAGTCATTCTTGGCCGCTTTCAATTCTTAACGGCGTGGCATGCTGTCAAAAGGTGTTTTGCTCCTCCAAGATAATGCAAAGCCTCTCACTTCTCGAATGACTCGGAAAGTAATCGAAACTTTTGGCTGTGAGGTTTTGGACCATGCACCATACAGACCCAACCCCGCTCCTCTAATGATTTCCACCTTTTCCGGTACCTCAAACACAGTCTTGAGGGGAAGAGCTTCAGTGACAACGGAGAAGTGAAAGCAGCCGTGAACTCTTGGCTGTCCGACCAAGCGGCAGACTTCTTTGAAGAGGATTTTCAAAACTTAGTTCTAAGGTATATGACAAGTGCATTAATAAACTCGGCAACTATGTAGAAAAATAGGCAAAAGTATGTACAATCCTAAAATAAAGGTTTTTTGAAAGAAAATATTGTTGTAATTTCTTAAAAAAACAAACGGACCTTACTTAAAAAACAGCCCTCGTATGTTTTCATGTCTATCAGACATTTGTTACGTAGATCAGGAATTAACTCATGTAAATGAAGAAAATCTGTCTCGAGAATAGGTGTTGTAACATTGGCTATCAGAAAAGTCCAAGAATAAAGTCTTCTTAATTTAAAATCTAAGGAAAGTGTTTTTTGTCCATAAACATTAATTGGCGACGAGTTTGCAGCGAAAATTGTTTGCTGGATAGGATTTCTTTTTTGGATGTTTGACACATCCGATCCAGTATCGATCAAAAATGATAAATTGGCTGTTCGATTGTGTATAAATAGGAACATGTGGCTATTATTCTTCGCCGTTTCCGTTTACCTGAAATTTACAGGACGAAACCCATTTTTTTTTTCAGGTTTGTAATTTTTCCCGAAATGGCGATGATATCAACACACGGAGAAGTCGCGATTTTTACTACTACCTCTCAATCTTTGTTGACTGTTACATCTACGAAAGAGAGAACGATGTCGAGAAAGCTCAATTTTTTCCAATTCGTGCTTTTCATTTTTCTTTTTCACGTAGTAATTTTTGTTAGAAAGAGTTGGTATTATTTTTATTTACAGCGTGAATCTCCATGGGAATAGGTGTAGCTTCCAAAATTCTATCCTAATTTTCGGCTGCTCTATCTAAGGTAAGTTCTGATACAGCCACCAAAATGGTTTGTACTGATGTTGGCAACCATTGCAAAAACAATTCCAGCACAAATTGTTCTCGTACTTTTACCTTTTCTAACCACCATCTCATATGTCTTAATAATCCGGAAGGTTTTCTATTGCCTAATTCTTCACCTGATAAAAGCAGACGAATTTTTCGTTGTTAAGATTCGCTTGACCGATTTAAAAGTCCAGCTTTCAGATGATTATAGGGATCAGTTTTATCAGGATTCGTCAAAATATTGCGCACAAGGGATGCAATCTCTGGAGGTAAACCGGAAACAGCATAGTTAAATTTAGTAACAGATTCTGTTATTAGTTTGAGGCATGATGAAGCAAATGTGCATTCACACATAATAAACCAAAGAGCCGGATCTGCTCTATTATAGATTGGCATTTGAACTGCACTCACACCTCAGACATTGTGCAAGTAATCCTTTGGTTTCCGGTACTTTATTGGAGGATTTCGAATCTTGAAAAATTAGTTCAAAGTTGAAACTTTTGGCATAAGACGATCACATCTTTCCAGGATAAGGTATAATCCTTTTTAGCAGTCCAAATGAGCATCGTTTCAGATAAACAGAGTTCGATATGTCACCATTATCGTGTTACTTACAACACCATGATTAAAATATATTATAAATGAAATAAAACTATATCCACATTTCAGAAGGTGAAAATATTAAACATCTTTACACCACTCACTCCGTTATTATATTACATTTCTACTCGGTAGTTTTACAGTTCTTGTAGAGGCCCCAAGCTTGATGAATTCCATTCATAATTTCAACGCGCAAGAAAAAGACCTTGAACTGATATTGCAAACCCAATGGTTTCCATGGATTTGAGTCGTGTTGCAGCCCTAGCTATCTTTCTTCCGCGTATCTGTATTGTTATAACCTGCACAAAATGTTTGCGTGCGTTTTTTTTTTTTGCACAAATTTTATTTTAAACAAACAAACACTATTCAAGTCAAACAAGTTCATTTTTACTTCACAGCCGTGCTTAGTAACTTTCGGATACACGTTACACACACACTGATGGAAGAAGTGTCTCAAAACCAAGAGAAATTATTATAGACTAATGAAACTTTTTTAAAAATTTATAATAGGCTGCGGATTGGTGTTTTACCATTGCACACCTTGTACATTCCCCGGGAGCTGGTATCTCCTTTTAGCGCGGCACCCTATAGTCGGATATCAATCGCAGCAGACAATTTCCTCCCAGTTTCCTCCACAGAGGGAGGAAACTGGGCAATACAGCCTGACTGACGCCACGTACAGCTTGGGGCCCAAAATCTCACTTTGATGGGGGGGGGTAATATTATCCGGTACGCCGCTGCACCATTAACAACAAGGCAAAATACGTTTGTCTAGGTAATACATTTACTTGATTAAAGTTTCAAAATTACAGGTTAACGTAAGCGATAGAACAGCCATTTTAAATGCGAAAGGATGGTACATTAAAATCTGGTGAAACCATCAAAATTTTAAATGCAAGCATGCAAACGTGCATAAAATTTTTCGGGAAAGTACCCGATTTCAGTTTGTGCGAAGAAATTTCCTGCCTGATGTTCTTGGTCGGTCAATATATGGTTGTTAAATTCTGGTTGAAGATGACGCTGTCGTTGCCGTCCAATAATGCCCCATTGGTACTCGATTGGAGAGAAATCTGGTTATCAAGCAAGTCAAGGTAACGCGCTGACACTCAATAGAGCATGGGTTTGAACAATGTATGATGGCGCACGTTATCCTGTTGGAAGACAACTATGAATGAAGTTTATAAGTGGTAGTGCAATAGCTTGAATCACCAGACTGACATACAAGTTTGCAGTCAGGGTGCGCATGAATTAACCTCGAGAGTGCTCCTGCAAAAAACGAAAATTGCTCGTGCCAAACAATAACTAGGGTGCAGAACCAGTCACACTGATCCTGCACCCTAGTTATTGTCTGGCACGAGCAATTTTAGGCCCCATAAAAGTAGTTTGCAGGCCCTTATCTGGTCTTCTTCTAATCAATATATAAACATCACTGCAGTTGAGCAGAGGCGGATTAAAGTAGTTGGAGGCCCCCTGGCGGTAAAAGGTTTGAGGCCCATAGGCTCAAGAGTCGAGCCACTAAAATAGTGAAAAGAGTCACTTACTTTAAATTCTCAAAATAAAATGTATTGATTACAATAAAACGCATCGGCTAAAGAAAAATCGTAACTGTATACAAAAAAAATTAAGAGCTTACAGTTTGATTTCTCTTTGGGAAATTCATCAATTATTTTTACCATATCCATTTTGTCCAAAACATTTTATTCTGTGTATAATATGGCCATTTCTGTATATATATTTGGGCTTGGGGCCTAAACCTGAGTTTGCAGGAGGGGGGCACTAATATTCTTTGTTACGTCACTGGTGGAATCTATCAAGCTTGGGGCCAAGGGTGGCCGCCAGGTCCGACACCCGCTTAATCCGCCACTGCAGTTGAGTAATGTACACCACCACATCATAGATCATGGATTTGAGGGGGCATACAGGCTGAATGACGCCACTTACAGCTTGGGGATCACAACATCACTTTGACGGGGGAGGGAGGCTAATATTCTCAGTTACGCCGCTGCACCACTGGCACCAAGACAGAAATAGCTTTAAATGGAGATCACAACACAGTGCAACTCCACTCTCCAATGATCTCCAGCGTGACATCACTGAAGTCGTAGATGTCAGTGATTTAGAGCTAATGGTATGAATGCTACAAAGTGTCTGGCTGGGAG